ACAGGAAAACCAAGGCCAACATTTGACCCTTGCTGAACCAGATGGGACAACTGACAACCAATGCCCAGGAAAAAGCAAACTTGATAAACATGTACTTTGCGTCAGTTTTTCACCAGTCCCATGGGACGCCCCTGCCCACTGCAGGACAGGGAGGCCCGGGTGAGGGAGATTCCTTACCATCCATCAAAGCTGAGCTCATGAAGGAACACCTTGACAGGCTGGATACCTTCAAGTCAGCCCGCCCTGATGGTCTACACCCAAGCATACTGAAAGAGCTGGCAAGCATCATAGCTCAGCCCCTGGCATGGATCTTGGCACAGATCATGGCATGGATCTTGCCCGAAGATCGGAAGCAGGCCAGTGTGGAAAAAGGGAGGAAAGTAGATCTGGCAAACTACAGACCCACCATCCTGACCTCTATCCTGGGGAAGCTCATGGAAAAGATTATCAAAAAGGCCATTCTATACAGGCTAGCTGACGGCAATATCCTGATGGATACCCAGCATGGATTTGTTGCGGGTAGGTCTTGCTTGACCAATCTCATTTTCTTTCACGACCAGGTGATCTATCACCTGGACAAGAGGGAAGTTATTGATGTCATATATCTTAACATTAAAAAAGCCTTCGATCTGGTATCCCATGATCACCTCTTGGCAAAACTAGCCAACTGCAGCCTCAACCTCACCATGATCTGCTGGCTGGGAAACTGGATCCGCGGCAGGACCCAGAGGGTGGTGGTTGATGGAAGTCAATTGTAGTGGTGTGCTGTGACCAGTGGGGTCCCTCAAGACTCTGTCCTAGGGCCTTTACTTTTTAACGTCTTCATCAATGATGTATACACTGATGTCAAAAGTGGGCTGGCCAAGTTCACTGACAACACCAAACTCCGGGGTAAAGCATTCACACTTGAGGACAGGAGGGTGATCCAGGCAAATCTTGACAGGCTCATGAAATGGGCAGATGAGAACCTGATGGTGTTTAACACCCCAAAAATGCAAAGTTCTCCAATTTGGGAAGAAAAACCTGCAGCATGCTTATAGGCCCGGCAGTGCCACACTGACTAGCACTATGAATGAGAGGGACTTGGGGGTCAGGATTTACCACAAGATGAACATGAGCCTTCAATGTGATGCTGTGGCTAGTAAAGCAAGCAAAACCCTGGCTTGCATCCATAGATGCTTCTCAAGCAAATCCTAGGACTTCATTCTCCCATTGTACTCAGCCTTGGTGAGGCCACAGCTGGAGTACTGCGTCCAGTTTTGGGCTCCACAATTTAAAAAGGATGCGGAGAAGCTTGAGAGAGTGCAGAGGAGAGCCACGCGCATGATCAGAGGTCAGGATAACAGATCTTATGATGAGAGCCTGAGAGCCATGGGACTCTTTAGCCTGGAAAAGCATAGGCTAAAGGGTGATCTGGTGGCCACCTATAAGTTTATTAGGGGGGGTCACCAGGATCTGGGGGAATGTCTGTTCACCAGAGCATCCCAGGGGATGACAAGATCGAATGGTCACAAACTCCTCTGCAACCGTTTCAGGCTGGACATAAGGAAGAACTTCATTACTGTCCGAGCCCCCAAGGTTTGAAATAGACTGCCACCGGAGGTGGTTCAAGCACCCACTTTGAACACCTTCAGGACACTTTTACATGTTTATCTTGCTAGGATCTTCCTATGATCCCTGCTGACTTCCTGACCCCGGGCAGGGGGCTGCTCTCGATGATCCTCCGGGGTTCCTTCCAGCCCGAATGTCTATGAAGTCTCTGAAGTCTACTTGCGGTTCACTTCAGGGCCTGCCACTGAGCACATGGGGGACTGCCCCCATGCCCCACTGGCTCAGCAATCAGCCTCACCAGACCTAAGAGGCACCAGTCACTGAGTCGCAGGATGAAGGTGTGTTCTGTGTACTTCGCAGAGGACCCAGGAGTGGACTAGAAGTGTTTCTGGTCCATTTCCGGGTCCACCACTGAGTGCACTGGGGACCCTCCCACACTCCCATGGGACGTGCCATGCACCCCACGATCTCAGTGTTCATGAGCCACGTTGTACCTTAAGGTATGTGGAAAAACACACATAAAGCTGTGTCTATGTCCAAATCATCAAATCTCTCTGAATCAAATCGGAGACTTCTGATTCAGTTAGCAGAAATTAATGGGTCTTCTGATTCAATTCGGATTCAGCTGCTGAATTGGACCAAATCTCAGCTGAATCGAATCAGCAACCAAAGCTTCGCACAGCCCTACTGCTTATTACTGTTATGAGAATATTAGAT